AAAGGCTTTATTTAAGGGATTTAAGAGCTTCACTCGTATAGCTTACTTAAAGGACTTATATAAAGGCATCATTTAAAGGCTTTATTTTCAATCTTTATTTAAAGGTTTTATTAAAGAGATCTAATAGCTTCTTTTAAGTGTGACGAACTGATGAATTCTGACCTTAGAATACAAAGTGAGGAAAGGAAACAGGAAGCTCGGGGAGCTCAGGAAGGTCTATATACATAGCCACAAGCGCTAGGCTTGGATAGGTGATCAGCTGATGCAAGTAACAAGGCAGGCTGTCACACTACCCCCTTAAAGAGCGGTCCTAGCTCTTTCAAAAGTACTTGACAGAGGAAAGGAAAAAATAAAAAAAATTCAATCGTGAATTATAGTTCACGGGTGGAATTGCTGAAAAAAAAAAACTAAAAAATACGCCGAGGCTACAGATCGCGATAATCGTCAAGGTCAGCGTCGTAGCTTCTAAAAGCGTTCTATTCTGCTAAAATTTCCTCTTTCTCGTTCGAGTCAAACTCGCTTAAACTTTTATTTTCTTTAACGGGTCGGTCCGAAAAAGGGTCTTAAAGAACTCGCTTCTTTATTAAGGGCTTAGCTAGAAAGAAGATACAGCTAGCTATCTAATAGTCGATTGCACCGCAACGGGTATAGCGATTTGATTTACGTTAAGCTTCGCGCTGATCAAGAGTACTATAAAGAGCATGCTAAAGAGTGAAGTATCGGTCTTTTAACAGCTGAGTTTAGTCAGCCTCGTAAGCGTCGATAAGCTTTATAGCGCCGAGCTCGTTAGCGTGCTGCAATTGCTCGAGTTGTTAAGCGCGGTCGACGGCTGAAAGGTCTATTAAGTCGCCGGGAAAAGGGCCCGTTGACGTGCAAAGGCGGTTTTGAAGAAGGGCCGAAGGTCGAGGGAATCCGTAAGGCGGGCCGGAAGGGCCGGAAAAGCCGGAAGAGCGTTTAAGCTGCTAAGTGACGTGCACGTATTCGGTATACGTAATTAAGAGAGTCAATTAGCTATTCAAACGAGTCCGAATAATTAAGTTTAGACTATTGCGGAACGCAATAATCTTATTAGCGTCGAGCCAAGTCTAATAGCGAGCAGCGTGCAAAAGTCGTTCGAAGCGTAAGACGTAGATATAAAAAGCGTTTGTACTTTGCTTGCAAGCAAGCAGCTTATCTTTAGCTTCTTGGATTTTGTTTGAATTATCGTAAGCGAAAGCGAGCTGATCTAGAAGAGTATTATAGTCTTAATTGCCGGAGTCTTAAGCTAAGGCTAATTAAGTCAAAACTATTGCTTAAAGACCGGGTTCTATATTAAAGTAAACGTAGTAGAACTGCGCAATAAGTCCGCTAAAAGCTTCACCGTCGACGAGAAGCTTAGCCTTAATTGAAAGAAGCTAAGTATCTTACCGCTGAACTGTACTATTGAACTTATCAGGATCCGGAAGGACGCATTTGCGCTAGCGAAAGGCTATTCGTAATTGCTTTACGAGAGACTTTAATTAAGCGATTTTCGTAAAGGAGGAAAGGCCGTCGTCTTCGTGGGAGGACATAGTAATAGAATGAAGAGGGAAGGGGGGCGTTTGAATATCGGAAACGCTAGGAAAAAGAGTAAGGAAGAGAGTTCGTTTTGCAACCGAAGTGCAAAAAATTAAAGAAAGGAGCTCTTTTAAGTCGGAAGAGCTGAAGAAGAGGTGAGGTCGTAAAAAAGACAATAATCTGTAAGCAATAAAAGAAGACCGTAGAGCACTCAACAAGTAACTCACTCCGTTCTTAACAATAATCAATAAGCCGTAATCTGTAACAATAATCAATAAGCTATAATACGACGACTTAATCGAAGGACTTTGTATAATGTGACGAACTGATGAATTCTAACCTTAGAATACAAAGTGAAGAAAGGAAACAGGAAGCTCGGGGAGCTCAGGAAGGTCTATATACATGGCCACAGGCGCTAGGCCTGGATGGGTGATCAGCTAATGCAGGTAACAAGGCAGGCTGTCACATTAAGGGCTTGACTCAAGAGCTTTATACAAAGGCCACTTCTTAAGGCCTTATTAATAGGCTTTATTTATAAGCTTTACTCGGATAACTTAATTAAAAGATTTAATAGCTTTTCTTTAAAGCTTTATTTAAGCGCTTTATTTAGGACCCAAACTCAAAGGCCTTACTTATAAGCCTTATATAAAGGCTTTATTTATGGGATTCAAGGGCTTCTTTCAAGGCCTTCATTTAAAAGGCTTTACTCAAATGCATTAGGCTATTATTCAACTTACTTATCAAACAGGCCAACTCTAGGGCCTCACTTAAGGGTCTTACTTAAAGGGCTTATTCGAAGAGCCTCCCTCAGATCCTTACTTAAGGTCCCTGTTTCTAGGTCTCACTCATATGTCTTACTGAAGAGCCTCACTGAAGGGCCTCATTTAAGGGCCTTATTCATGAACCTTACTTAAGGAATCCAAAGGACCTTACTCAAGGGCCTTATTCGGAGGCTTTATTCAAGGGATCCAGGAGCTTCTCCCAAAGGCCTTACTCGGAGGCCTTATTCTGGATCTACATTCAAGGGCCGCATTCAATAGATTCAAGGGCTTCTTTGGAGGGCCTCACTCAAGGGCCCAAACCAGGAGCTTCTCTTAAGGGCCTCACTCAGGAGCCCCATCCAGAGGGCCTTACTCATAGGCCTTACTCAAGGGCCTTATTCAGACGGCCTCACCCAAAGGTCTCACCCAAAGGACTCATTCAGAAGGCCCCATTCAAGGGCCCTATCCAGAGGGCCTCACTCGAAGGCCTTACTTAG